CCCGTAACTCGCCCAAATATTGACCCGCCCCAAATTTAAAGCATAACTCTCTCTCTCTCTCTCTCTCTCTCTCTCTCTCTCTCTCTCTCTCGTTCTTCGCTATTTCTTATTAGTGAGCATTTACTTACGAGTATATGTCTACTATTATTCATGAGGCAAACTCAAAATTGAGCTCTCTATTAGATTATTTTTTATGGAAGATGGAAGAAATTGTCATATTCTTCTTATGCAAAAAGTTTAGATTCTTTTTGTTTATGCAATGGGTATTCTTTATTTGAAATTTGTGGGAGGGTTGCTTCACTATTTTTTGTCATTCCTCCGTGAAAATTTGAGGATTTGTTTTTCAATTTTTTTTATTATTTATGTGATGTGTATTTTTATTTTTTATTTATTTCACTATTTATTCAATTAATATGTAAGCTTTTCTTATCCGTTAATGAGTATTGTGCAATTGTCACATTTCATACACACTGGGTTCATATATGATGTACTAATAATAGTTAACAATTTTTTAAGATAATTTTTTCAGTATTTATTTTCTTATTTTGATTGTTATATTCAATATTCGGACGGGTTAAGGGTAAGTTTAGTTATATTTTAGTTGAAGTTTAAGTTAGGCCAATGGAACGGTGACACATGGATATTTATTAAATATTTTTTTTCTTCTAGAATTTTCTGTTAGTAATAAGGGCAATGTTGAGCCAAAAAAATAACGATAGGGGCATTTTTATTCAAATAGGTGGACGGGGGGTATTTTTGTACCAATTTCGATACTTCAAGGGTAGTTTTGGCCCTTTTCCGTTCTTTTTATATGGTCATGGAGGAACTGGCAAAACTTTTATCTAGAAAACATTGTCTTTTGGCGTACGATCTAAATGCGATATAGTGATAAATGTTGCTTCAAGTAGTATTGCTTCTCTTTTGTTACCAGGAGGTCGAACTGCACATTCAAGATTTGCGATCCTTCTAAATCCAACTAAAGATTCAACATGCAATATAAAACAAGGTAGTCCTTTAGCAAAGTAAATTGTGAAGGCAAAATTGATCATTTGGGATGAGGCATCAATGATGCATAAATACTGTTTTGCAGCTCTTGATCAAACTCTTAGAGATATTCTAAGATTTAAAGATCCGTCAATTTTAGATCGGCCATTTGGAGGTAAAACAATTATTTTTGGAGGTGACTTCAGACAAATCTTGCATGTAATTACAAAAGGTACTAGGCAAGAGATGTTAAAACGACTCTAAATTCTTCATATGTGTGGCCCCACTGCCAGGTTTTAAAGCTAACAACAAATATGAGATTGCAAGTAAATATATCCGGTGAAGATTTGAATGATTTAAAATAATTTTCTGATTGGATTTTGGCAATATGTGATGGAAAGATTGGATGTTCCATTGATGGCATTGAGAAAGTAGAAATACCTGACGATCTTCTCACACATAATTGTGATGATCCAATATATGGAATTGTAGAAAGTACATATTCTGATTTCTTAAGACATTTCACAGATATAAAATACCTTCAAGAAAGAGCAATTCTTGCGCCAACTCTTTAGATGGTGGAGTCGGTGAATGATTACATGGTTTCTCTCAACAATAGTCATGATAAATCATATTTAAGTTCGGATATAATTTGCATGTCTGATCATGCATTTACATCTTTGGAACATGTACATGCACCTGAATTCCTAAATAGTATTAAATGTTCAGGTATTCCAAATCACTCTATCGCTTTGAAAGTAGGTGTTCCTGTGATGTTGTTAAGAAATATAGATCAATCGTCAGGATTGTGTAATGGTACAAGATTGATCATCACAAAACTTGAAAATCGGGTAATTGAAGCCAAAGTATTATTAGGAAAAATGGCTGGAGACAAAGTTTTTATACCAAGAATGACACTTACTCCATCCGATACAAGAATTCCTTTTAAGTTCCAAAGAAGGCAATTTCTAGTCATTCTATCTTTTGCCATGACAATCAATAAAAGTCAATGCCAATCATTATGTAATGTGGGATTATTTTTGAAGAAGCATGTGTTTGCACATGGACAACTATATGTTGCACTTTCAAGAGCAACAAGTAGAAAAGGGTTGAAGATCTTATGTTATGATGAAGATGGGAAAATAACAAATGAAGCTACAAATATAGTTTATAAAGAAGTTTTCCAAAATTTAGAGGATATAAGTTTTGAATGAGTAAGTATAAAATGAGCAGCAGCAACAACAAGTTCAGTGTACATACTCAGTATATAGTTGCTCATACTACAGAGAAAGATAAAGTTGAATGGGGTAAACATTCTTCTAAATTTACTTTACTTTGATATGTGTTGCAGCTTAACTGTTTTTTAGTCACATGTACTTTTATTTGTTAAATTATCTATCTATATTTTCAGTCAATCAATTCAATTAAATTGTGGAGTTACAAGAATATGGATTACCAACCATCATTTCCATTCATCGGCCGCTACTAGGTATGAAATATTACTTAGAAAGAATTTTATTAAAAAATATATAAAAGGAGTAATACTATCGCTTATCAATCACAACTCCAAGCTGCTGGGGAACTAAAATATTTTCAATATGGCATCAAATGGGGCACTGGTTATTTATTGAAATCCAGTTCCAAGCATAATCGCCTCTATATCCATGTTAGTCCCAATAGTTTTCAAGAATATTGAGAATTAATTTTATTCTAAGTTTCCAGCAACATATGTTTGTTAAATGTTAAACATTTAATTGTGCATTTTTTTAAGGTTGGAGATCTAATAAAAGATCATGAATGTTGGACAAGGCCAGAGAACATGAAAACACCATAAATTATACTGCTGATAGATCAAAATAATCGTGGAACAGAGATTGCTATTGAGAGGAACTGATGTTTGGTTGTATTATAGAAGGTGGGCTTCACTGCTTATTAAGAAGTATGAGTTCTGTCTTGATGTTGTCCTACATGAGCATGTTACAAATGATCGAGTATCTTTTCATCTCATACGTAGAAGATTTAGTTAACAAATTCAATACAAGATTTAGGTACAATGACTGTTGCTTTATACAAAGGTTGTGCAGAAAATTTTCATAACTGATTTCAACTACCTTTTTTTCCCTTCTCAATACAAGATGATTTATCACCTGTTAGTTCATTCTTGCCATTTTTTGTTCATAGGGAATGTCCTGAGGAGTGTAGAGAAGATGTATCATCCTTGATTTTTGTAGCAGCAAGATTCGCCGATGTGTCAGAATTACGCCAACTAAGAAGTTATTTACCGAGAGATTTGGAAATTCCCTTGAATGTTATGTCCGTAAAGATGTACTGACTCATCTTTTCACTGTCATAATATTTGTGCTTAAACTTACAACTGCAACTTTACTTTTTTCCTCTAGCTTTAAAATATATAACAAATTTTCTTTCTTGACAGTTTGTTCAAAACTTAAATTCAGAAGCTACAAAGGAGATGAAGCTTCAGTTGATGCAAGACAGAGCATAAGAATCTGGTAAAGAATGTAATTCCAAGGCTTTAGAGAAGAAGCTTTACAATTCACTTGTATCATAACAAGCAAGCCTGGCATAGAACCTCATAATCTCCTCTTTTCTTTGCTATTGTCTTTAGATGTCAACTTGATGTTAAGACAATAATGGACTCATCGATGTTGATTGATACTGCCATTAAAAAGGTGCATCGTCTATTGATCATTCTATGTTAGTAATGATTGTCAATTCTTATACTGATCTTAAATAGTTTTCTGCACGATTACAGTTTAGCTCCCAAAACTTGGTAAGTCAATTCCTTTGGCTTCCTCTTACTAACCAATATGCTACCCTTTTTTTAGATCCTCAATTCATCGAAACATAGCAATACCAAATTCAACAACAGAAAGTCGAAGATCAGCCCTCTTTCTGATTATGATAGGATGGTCGATCAAAGTGATGCCTTGTGCTCAATTAAGAGTTTGGCTAGTTTTATGCTGAATCTATGTGTCCATTATGTTCTCTTAAGGTCAACTTTTACAATTCTTAGGTACCTATCCAAAAGAAAAAGTTACATTTTGTTCATTTATGTGGTTCAAATATGATAAATATTTTTTCTTGGTGTTTTGTATTTTGGATGAATAAAATAAGCAACTACGAATGCAAAAAAGACACTATCTTTACTTTTACCCCCATCTCAACCTGTTGGCCTGGCTCCTTGTCGTTTACATGTTGCCATTGAATTTCTTGACACAGAATCTCCTATTTCCACCACAATTGTACTTGGTGTCATGACCAACTTAGAGTATCTCTAACTCTAAGTTGATTTTACAAAATATGGTCCTATCAAGTAATAGAAAAATAATTAAAACTATTTAATACAAATTAGATCCAGTAGCCTTGAGATCAGTAGTGATTGTAACGACTCCAAAGCTCTCACCATACCTAAGAAAATATACCTGACATGAAGAGAATAAATTTCTTCCTTTTTTCGAGTCATGTAGAATTAACTTTATGATCCATCCCCGGAGGAGATGCAAGCTATCAATGGTTTAATGTAAAAATCTATCAACAAAATGAGATAACTTCACACTCACATGAATTCAAGATTGCTTGTCGCACATCAAAGCTTCACTCTCACATCAATTATAGATAGCTTAATGGAGAAATATATCAACCAAGAATGCAAAAAAAATGCTTCGACTACATATAAAACCAACATAACAGTGAAATGGGTCAAAAAACAAACAACACTGTTTCATAGCCTAAGTAAGTAAAAAATCAATGGAGCTTTAAAACTCTGTGGACTGTCTTACGTATCTATATAGGAAAAATATAACAACTGAAAGAACCATGAACTGATTCAAATATCTTGTCCATAGCAAATGAAAATACCAAACTAACTAAACAGGAAAAGTTCAATACCAAGAAAAACATGAAATGATTCAAACATCTTGTTCATAACTAATAAAACTAATAAACTAACTAATCAGACAGTTCTTAATTCTCCAACTGTTACATATGCAAACAACTTATGCTATCTTCTTCTTTTTAAATACTCTCTTGATCTTATATCCAGATAACTGTGCATTCGAATCTTCTTCAACCACTGATGCAGGATTAGTTATACCTATCTTGGCAGGTGTATTTGCAACATCGATCAACTCATTATCTTTGGTGGAATCCTACATATTTAAAACACAAAAACTTGTGAAAATCAATACCTAATCTATAGTTCTTGTTGCTTTATTATTTTACAACCTGCCAATCATTAAATTAAAAGAATGAATTATGTAAAATAATATTTATAATGAGTTGTAAAATCACCGTGATTTCGTTATCTTCATGACTGACTTCGTTTTTATTGAAATATGGATCCTACAAAAAAATGTGTATCATAATTAAAATTTAATTCAATCACAAATAGGAAAACCGAGAAAAATTGAGTATATAAACATACTTTGAACGTCTCTTCTTGTGGAGAAGGAATATATTTCTTTATAATTTACTCGTCGTCACTAAGCATAATAACTTTTAAGATTTCATCTTTATTCTGATTGTTGGAACTCTTAACCTCAACTTTAAACATGCACCTTTTTTCAACAATATTTTCTATCTCCATTGGACATAAAGAATCGCCTGCAGCACCAGAAGTCTAACAAAAAGACATAATGACTGTGGTTAATAGAAGCTAGAACAACTAAAGTAAAAAGTAAATGTAATACGGTGTACACATTTTGTTTGTTCCTTATTAGAATGGATTAAATTGTTAAAAAGATGATGCTTCAATTCAGAGGCGGATTAGGATTTTGGCAGGATGGGTGCACTATTAAGAAGAACTGGATTCAGAATAGAAATTCTACGTGTTAAACCTTTAATTCTTACGATTGCGTACCCATTTCACTTTTGGAATTATAGTTCAAATTTTTGTTTTTTTTAAATAGTAATATTCTTACATCTATATCTATTTTTCATGCTGAAAATATTGAGATTACTTGAACCCATTGACTATATGCTACATCATACACTGCTATTAGTTTTAATATACACATTTTGTTTAATCATATAAGATTTTACAGCGACAAAAGAAGAATAGGAATTTCAATGTTTGAAAATTTTGAAAGAATTAACCAAATAAAAAAAGAAATAAAAAGAAAAAGTACTTAATTAATACGCAAAAAATAACACCAGACATGCCCATCTCCCATGGGCGTGTACTTCTAGGAAAAAAAAGAAGGAAAAAATAACAAGATTGACATAAGATTTGAACTCACAATCTCACTTAGAGAATTACACTTAATAATCATCACAGCATATAATACTTTGAGTATGAGTGCACACACATATATATTTTAATATTTTTTGAAAATATATAATATTTCTATACATTATTTAGGGCGGGAGCATGGGTTCATGTGCCCCATGGAACCCCTAGATACGCCCATACTTCAATTCTCATAGTAAGTGTGTTATTAAACATAAGCTAAATGTGAGGAATAATACACTAAATAAAGCTATTAATATAAAAAGACTAAAGCAGAAGATGGGAAACTAAAATAAAAGCATAAATTTTCTGATGCAAAATGCCTCTTCGTTCATTAATACTTGCTGAATTTTGCACTGTGCTGCCGCCAAACTCCAACCATTTTAATAATATTTTGTAACCTCAAATTCAGCACCATCGTCATCAGAGATTGAACCATTTTTTCTTGTTTTGTTTGTTAATCACTGTCTTATAAAGATTGAATAGCTAGTGTTAATGTCAAAATTATTCTAGCTTTCATACAACACTTGTAAACAAAAGTAGATTTTTTGAGTCTATATTGCTTTTTAAGTGTTTAACTGCAAAAGAACAAACCCATATTTAAAGAACTTCAAAACAAAGTGAAACTTTAGCGATAAGCTAAAATCAGAGAACTATTAAAAACAGAACTTAACTTTTTCAGTGATTAACTACAACTATCTTAAATTTAGCGAAACTAGGGACACCTAAAATCAGAAAACTATTACCATCATTTCAAAGTTCAAACTTATCAAACCTCTCAAGTAAATCTAACAAGAGCAAAGGCATACAGATTTAGCAATAAGCTCATTTGAAATTTAAAAATCATATCTTAATGACTTTGTAACTTACACTTAAAAGAACTTTGACGTTATTTGTTAACCTAAAGTTCTTTCAAGTATATCAGACCTCACATGCATATAGACACAAAGTCAACTATCCCATAAATAAGATGGAAAGGAGATGCAGGGGAATGGATCATGTACCACTTCTTTCAACGTTGATGGTCTTATTTTTCTAAGCAATTGTATTATACCTCAAATACAACATCCTTTAAATAATTTGCCGACTTTCCGATAATCTTAGTTGCATCCTTATCCCACAACAACAAAGAAATTGTACCGGTGCAATCCATCACCTTAACTTGTAGCTTGTACCTAGAAAGAGTTTGTGTTTTTAAATTTTTAATTTTTAATTTTTAATAATAGTAAAAAAAAAAACTAAAAAAAAAACTATAAATTATGGCCATACCTATGAGTGGCAGATTGAATTTGCTCGCATTTTTTACAATAGAATTTTTCCCCCTCTTTCTCTACTTTCTTTGCGCAATTTTTGTATGCTAATAACACCATCCACGGTCTAATTCTACGTGTACAATAGTTGCTACAATCCAGAAATTTCCTGGATGCGCATAAAAATTATATATACAAATGTTATGTAGAGAAAGATAAGATAAAAGTTGTATAAATTAAAAATTAACAAAATTAAAAAGTAGGTACTCACATGCTTACAGTCACTCAAATCCTCAATAGTTTTAACTTCAATACTTCCGGATGCTAGGTCATCAGCAACAGAATGAGTTTTGTGAGATGAAATTTGAGTAATTCTTTATGAGCTTTCTCCACGCACAGAAACTATTTTGTTTTATTTTTTAAGTTGAGATACGTTAATAAATATTAAGACTAAAATTTAATTTGAAATATCCTTAAATTAAGTATAACTTATAGACCTGGAGCAAAAGTCAACAACTTGAGGAAGATTTGAATTGATCCAAAGTTTCGATGCGTGCCAAGTGTTCCTCACCGAATATTGTTCTGCACACATAAAAGTAATTTTTAAGAGTTTACTAATTGTATAGAAAAATTGTATTGTAAAGTAAGTAGATAATTTAATAACCTCGATATGGATGTGCTCTAATCAACTGCGTGACGACGACAACAGGCTTATCATTGGATCCATTCAAATGTGGCTTGACCTGTTCGATAAAGTCTCCCCAAAGAGTTGCAGAAATGTTATTGCTCCTACAATTATTATAAGGTTAAGCATAGACATCAAAATTAAGAATTGTTGAAATATTTACTTAGTTTAATAAATTGTGGCGAGCTTACGCATAATCTTGTATCTCAATATTCATGAACATACGGATGCTATCATCTTGTTTGATAGATTGTATGTCCTCATAGCTCACAATTTCGCCAATAACATCTACAATAACATTGACCAAGGAAATATGTACAAAATTAGTAATCATTATGGACAATATAAATGAAGATTATAAAAGAATTATTAAATTTATATGAAATACCTAAGATATAGCAATTGGTATACCAAACATATAAGAAAGAAAAGAGATTATAGAATATTAACTGAAACTGAAAATTGTATTCTTATAAGACAGAAATCAGATTGTCATTTTTGATAGAGGACGCCTCAATTTTACAATTACTTTTCATCGGTTACAACAAAAGCAAGTAGTTAGCTTTCAGATATGTATAACAACTTAAGTAAAATATTTGGCAGGAATTTGACTATGAGCATCTTGCCTAACATACCATCTGCATTTACTCTTAGGTGAACCAAGCTGTTAGTTTAAGGCAATGGGTGCCATTCTTAGGTGAACCGAACTATTAGTTTACTTGTCAGAAAAGATGCTAGTTAAGTTAGATAGTTGTTAATTCTCTTCAAATAAATTAGTGTCAGATACAGAAGTGGAATTCCATGTGAAGAGAACATCGCCCTGAATATTTTGTTTGAACACATTTTGATGTAACGAAAACAGACATTAATCAGAAGGTTTTGATTCACATAAACCTTACTCATAATCTTGTATCTCAATGTCAACAAATTCAGCTTTAATCTAAAACTTAAGCTTTAATCTTATGTACTGTAATTAGTATTGATTTACTTCTCACTTAGCACTCATAAGATAGATAACAAATAAGGAAAAGTAAATTGAAACTGGAAAAAATGAGAGAAATGTAATTACCGAATAACTCAGTATTGTCAAATTCTTGGGGATTTGACAGCTGCTCATAGGTTCTAAATTTGAAGATATACATGTTGAAATGTGGATCATGCATATCCTCAAAAGTAGTCTTATGCGTGAACATCAACTTAAACTTGTGGTCTTTAGTCTTCAGTTTCATATTATTTGGATAAACCACGAAATTTTTCATGATGTACAAACCCATTTTCTTAATTTGTTGTTGGAACCTTTGGATAAAAGACTTGCCAATACTTGCGTGAATGCGGGCGCCCTAAAAAAATAGTCAATTAGTTAAAATGACTAAGAGCCCCTTTTGAATTAGCTGATTCTAAATAGCTGATAAGCTTGAAGTGCTGAAACTGATTTTTTAAATAAGTATTTATGTGTTTGGAATTTGGATAGACGTGCTGAAACTGATAATAAGCAGTTGATGTGTTTGGTAGAAAAAAACTGATAAGTAATTCTTTTATTAATTAAAATGACTAAAATATCTTTAAAAACTTTACAAAAGATTATAAATTGAAAGGTTTTTTTTTGTAAAGAAAAATATAACAATGAATATGAAATGAAAAGAAAGTTAGAAAGTTTATTTTGAGAAAAATATTTTGTGAATTAGAAAATGCTATTAAGGATAAACTAGTAAAAGCCTTGTCAAACTAAAAGTGCTTATAAGCTAAAAAGCCATAAGTTGGGGTTGACCGACCTATGTCCGATTTTAGCTTATAAGCACTTGGCTTATAAGCACTTTGGGTATTTACCAAACGCGTAAATAAGCCAAAAAATGCTTATAAATGTAACGACCCGGCCGGTCATTTTGAATATTATAACCTCGTTCTCTCATTTACTGCTCAAGTTATGCTTTACAGTTGCTTTATGACTTACCTAGTTAGTTGGTTTGGTTCCGGAAGGATTTCGAAGTGAAATGAGACACTTAATCTAAAAAAAATTGAAAACTTAAGTAGGAAAAAAGTCAATCGGATGTTGACTTATGTGTAAACGACCTCAGATTTGAATTCTGATAATTTTAATAGCTCTGTATGGTGATTTTGGGCTTAGGAGCGTGTCCGGAAAATTTATTGGAGGTCCGTAGTAGAATTAGGCTTGAAATGGCGTAAGTTGAATTTTTGGGAAGTTTGACTGGGGGGTTGACTTTTTTATATTGGGGTCGGAATTCGATTCTGGGAATTTGAATAGGTTCGTTATGTCATTTATAACTTGTGTACAAAATTTGAGGTCAATCGGAATTGATTTGATAGGTTTTTGCTTCGAATGTAGAATTTGAAATTTGTTAGTTTTGAATATGCTTGAATTGGGGTCTGATTTGTGTTTTAGTGTTGTTCAATATAATTTGAGGCATCGACTAGGTTTGTGTCATATTATGGGACTTGCTAGTATACTTGGTTGGGGTCACATGGGCTCGGATGAATTTTTGAAAGAGTTTGGTATTTTGAGAATAAGCATGTAATGATCCAAAGGTCCATTTTTAGTTTTAGAGATCGAAATTCGATTTCGAGACTTCCTGGATTTTGATAATGAATTATAGGAGTAATCTGAAAAGTTTTGTCTAATTTCATCAAGTCGCAATTGGGTTTTTAGCGCGAAACATGAGCTAATTGTTTAACGAGCAAAATTGGTATCGCATTGAGCAAATGAGCTCTGAATTGAGTTTCGATTGAACGACTAGGTTCGTATTATTATTTGTGACTCATAGAAATAAGATTCCCAGTTGGTATGATGGATTTAGAGCCATTTAGTGAAACAAAATAACTGTTGGTGCAAGCAAATTCTAGTGTGAACTTTTAGTGACGGAAAATGGACTTTTAGTGACGGATGGGTAGAAACTTAAGGACCAAAAATGGTCATTTCCTTCATTTTATTTTGGATTTTTGTAGCACGGTTCTTGAGAGATTTTGAGGGTTTCTTCACGACTTCGACTTGGGTAAGTGTTCAATATCCAAAAGTGATTATATTTCATAAATCTATGGTTAGATTCATCATTTATTTCGGATTTAAATGGAAGAAATCAAGTTTTTTGCAAAACTTTTCAAGAACGAAAATGTTAGATTTGGAGGTAGAGTTATCGGAATTTGATAAAATTGGTATGGTTGGACTAGTAATCGAATGGGTTGTCGGATTTTGTGAGTTTCATCGGATTCCGAGACGTTTTTGAGTTAAATTTCGGATTTTGTTGGAAAATTAGTCTTTTCATATGGAATTAATTCCTATAATTAGTATTGACTGAATTGAATTAACTGTAGCTAGATTTGAAGCATTCGGAGGCCGATTCGCGAGGCAAAGGCATATCAGAATAAAGAATTACACAGTTCGAGGTAACTAACAGTTCTAAATTTGGTTCTGAGGGTATGAAACCCCAGATTTTTGTGTTATGTAATTGGTTTTGAGGTGATGCACACGTTAGGTGACGGGTGTGTGGGCGCGCACCGTAGGAATTGAGACTTGGTCAAATTTCATGGAATTGTATAGTCAAATAATCTTGACATTGTCAATGTACTTTTATGTGTTAAAGAAATTTAGCCGAGAATCATGTTAAAAATCATGTTGAGGCTATATGCCAGTATTATTGAGACCCACAGAGGTCATATTTCTGTTAAATTAATTGTTTAAATTGTAAATTTCACACTCAGTCATGTTCATTCATTTCATATCATATCTCAATCTCTGTTGCTATTTATTGATACATCATATCATCATTTTGGGCCGATTTTCATGATTACTGAGAGCCCGAGAGATTGGGGAGATTTATGACTGAGTGAGGCTGAGGGCCTGATTGTGAGATATTGATACTATAGCACGTGAGTTGTCCGTGCAGCACGTGAGTTGTCCGTTCAAATCCAGATATTGATATTATAGCACGTGAGTTGTCCGTGCAGCACGTGAGTTGTCCGTGAAAATCCAGATATTGATATTATAGCACGTGAGTTGTCCGTGCAGCACGTGAGTTGTCCGTGAAAATCCAGATATTGATATTATAGCACTGAGTTGTCCGTGCGGGTCCAGATATTTATACTATAGCACATGAGTTGTTCATGCAGCACGTGAATTATTCGTGCTGATTTAACGCTTGGGTTGAAGGAGCCACTCCGGAGTCTGTACACCCCCAGTGAGCGCATGCACATACTGAGTGTGAGTGATGAGTGCTGAGTGAATGAAATGGCTGAGTGATCGTGGTCTTGAGAGGATGCATATGATTTCATTCTTATTGCACTACAATTATCATATATTACTGTGTTGGAGATTTCTCAAAGATATTATCTTCTTTTTCAGTCAAACTTGATATGAAATTATTGTTGAGTGTTAAATGTTGAACATGAAAGCATGCCCTAAATTTTATGTTGGAAATTACTGTAATTGGACTCAGTTGTGAAGCTTGTCACTATCATCAGCTCTTTATTTAGTATTGTTACTTGCTGAGTTGGTTGTACTTATACTACACCCTGCACCTCGTGTGCAGATCCAGGTACCTCCGGACACGACGGTCGCTAGTTTTTCGGAGCTTTATTTGTGAAAACTATCGAGGTAGCTTCTTGGCGTCTGCAGACCTTGACTCTCTTCTTTTCAGTTGTTGTACTGTTCTATATTTTTCAGTCAATATTTTTATTAGTCAGACTTTATTATCATTTAGATGCTCATGTACTCAATGAAATCAGATTTTGGGAATGTATTTTATGTGAGTGATTTGTGTGGTTTTCTATGAAATTCAAATATTATGTTTTCAAACTTAAGAGAAAATGTGGCTTATTGAGGTTGTCGGCTTGCCTAGTATTGAGATAGGCGCCATCACGACATGTTAGAATTTTGGGTCGTGACAATAAGCCAGTTTGACCAGCTTATAAGCTTATCCAAACACCCTCTAAGTTATTTGTATATGACTATAATATACTTACGCATATGTAAACAATGCAAAATAGAAAGTAATCGTAAAGTTTAAAACAATACTTTTTCATCCATAATAATAATCTCAATAGAAAAAGGGTATCAGTCGCGATCTGGATTTTTCTAAAGCCTGACAACACGATCCTTTAATTTCCAATTCATTGACTTGATGTTAATTTCGCTAACGAAATTTATTTCAGCCACCATTAAGTCCTGAAAATAGAGAAAGGTATTTATAAATATAAGTAGAAACTCAAACAAAATGCTTATAGAAACACATATGAAGCAAGAGATCAACAACAATAATAACAACCCAGTATAAATCTCACTAGTGGGGTCTCGGGAGGGTAGTGTATACGCAGACCTTACCCCTACCCTAGGGTGGAGAGGTTATTTCCGATAGACCCTCGGCTCCCTCCCTCCAAGAACTCCTCATTTTTCTCTTGGAGTGACTCGAACTCAGAACCTCTTAGTTGGAAGTGGAGGGTATTCACCACTAGTGAAATATGAAGCAAGAGATCATGTGAAATAATTGACTTATTGCTGATGATTCTCCAAAAAGTCATCAGCAAGAATTTGTGGTATAACCCTAAGATTGGTAAACAACAGTTGCCATAGAAGTTACGCCGTCAACAAACTTCACAGAAATAATATGTTCCAGTAATACAATCTCAACATGAATAAAGATTGTTCATGAAATACAAATCATATCAATCACCTCTTATAGTCCAGAGTTGCAGTTTGATATGCACATGGGGAGAAAGAATAGAAGTATATATTGTAAAAGTAGAAAACTGATTTGAGAAAACTGTGAAATCATGTTACTGAGAATGTAAGATAGAAGAATTCGTGGTCGAGGAGTTGAAATCGTGGTGAGATATCGTGTGATTGAAGCCGAATTTGTAGGATTATTTGTAGGGCAAATAGGCGAAAGAAGGGCGTGAGACTAAAGTGCCGAATTCCCAATTCCTATTTCTTATAAAAAAAATACAGGTTTTTAAAAACAGTAGAAAGTACTTGTTCTTTAATAAAATAATATACATATTTAATTATTTTTAAATTCAAAATTTTAAAAAAGAAACTAATTTGACCTAAACTAACTAATGGCGTGGGATTGAAGCACCGAAGTCCCAATTCCTCTTTCTTATAAAAAACAATACAGTATTTTAAAAATAGTAGAAATTACTGAATTTTAAAAACAGTGGAAACTACAGACTATTTAAAAAATAATATACCTATTTAACTGTTTTCAAATTCAAAATTTTGAAAGAGAAACTAATTTTAACTATATTAACTGATTTGTCCTAAATT